CAAAAAAAAGCGATTTTAAATAACAAAACTTGTCAACCGAACTGAGACTTTCGTTTGGTGAATGGAATTACTAAACTGATTCCAGATTTCAAGCCAAGAACAAGGATCACCGTAATATTTTGTAATCGTTAATTTTGGCAATTTTAAAGTATTAACTTCACAAGTTTTCAACTTCGGAGATATAGTTTCCTCACTAGAAGAATTTCTAGATTCAACTTTACACGCGTTTTTTTTCTTAATTTTTCCTGAATTTTACATTTAAAACTTATAATTCTTTCCTGATATTCCTGCGCGGAAATTACTTCTGTTTCCCAACTCCTGTTCCGTAATTATAAGTTTTCAATCTCAGAATCGTATTGTTTCAACAACTGCGATTTTTCAAGTAACATTTTCGAGTAATTCTTTTAATTTCTTCATCCGCGGAATTCATCCTCTTCTACCAATGCAAGAATTCTATTTTACTCATCCAACTTAGGTAGTTAAGCTATGCGTCACCGTACGCAACTTCTTTGCCTTATTCATAGCATCCATATTTTACCATTAGAATTCTATCCAACTATAATAATTAATCACCATTTTTTTTTATTCAACAATTCTATTCAAACTCTGGAAAAATGAAAAAGGGCCTACCTCGAATTTCCTTCGCGTTAAATCCTGGCTTTTCCAGTCATGAACTCACTAATTTTCTTCGTCCATTCTTCCATCTCCAAATCAAGGTCCGCTGTCACCAAAAAAAAATATACTTAGGTTCCAAATGATCAGAAGGTTGTTGATTGCGTGTTCTTTGATCTATTACACCAAGATATTTTACTGTACATTTATTTACAATTTATTTACAAGTCCATATGCCACCTGGCATGTTTACAAGCTTCATGCCTCCCGGCATGTACATGGTAGCACATATTCTGCCACCTGGTATGTGAAATTGATACATCATACTAGTTTTCTGCCACCTGACAGATACGATGCAATTACCTCAATTAGCGGTAATACGCCCGACATTTTTGGCGTGTCGCTTCCCTTACGTTCTGTAACGCAACTAACTTTTTGTGCGGTGCGCCCTCTGGGCACAAATCACCGCAATCACCGAGGAGGCCAAAACAATTATCATCCAAAATAAACTTCCACACCCCTCATATCACCAAATAATTTTTGGTTTCTTTTCTGAAATATTTCTGGGGCAGGAGGATATTCCAAATGGCATTTTATTAAATTTATATCTTACATAAGGAGGTATTAAATGTACATAGTTCAGAACTAGTTTCATGGTACACTGCCAAAATCCATCTTTTAAATTACAACTGAAAATACTTTTTTACTTCTAACCTACTAATTATATCATCTGGAGAAGGAATCTAATAGTGTTCCATTTCAATTAGTTTATTTAGATCTCTAGGATCCAAGCATAATCTCAAGACTTGCCATTAGGTTTTTCAATTATAACCAAACTTTGAACCCACTCAGTTGGTTTATTTACTTTCAATACTATCCCTTCTCTTCAAGTTTATCTAAAGTATCTTTAATTTAGGCTGTAAAGCCTGAGGAACACGTCTTGGGGGGGGGTTGTGTATTACTGGTATTGCATCATCTTTAAGGGTTTATGATATGGTTCGTCAGGGAAATTGCCCTGTGCCTGTAATACATCTTTATACTGAGCAATTAAATCATTTTTATTAATGATATTTGCACTTTAAAGAATCAATCCTTTCAATTAACTTTAATGCAGAACAAGCTGTTAAACCCTAATATAGGCTTAGATCTTACATCAAAAAACATAAAATTGTAAAGGTACATTCTTAAGCCTTTCAGTTGAACAATTAATTATAAGAGTACCTTCTGGTTTTAACTTAAAATTACCATATGCAGTTAAGAACAAATCAGTTTCATTAAGTTTAGGCTTAAGTTTAAGATTATTTAAAACATACAAAGGCAAAATATTTACTTCTGCACCAGTATCTAACTTAAAACCAACATTGAAATACTTATTATTTACATACATTGTAATACTTTTCACCCATGTTTCACTTACCTTGTGAATATCCTTATTTACTTCATCAGTATAATTATCATCTTTCATGTTCCGGAGTTGCTCTTTGCTTGTTTCAGCGGCACGGACTATTTCTATAGCTTTTTCTAATCCTAGGTTAGATTTTCGAAGCAAACGTTCGGTCAGACTCCTATCCCGAATGCCTAGTACAATATGGTCGCGAATCAATCCATTTTCTTGCTCAGCAAACTCACAAGTTGACGCTAAAATCTTTAACTGAATGACATAACATTCAATTGTTTGTACTTCTTGCTGGCTACAAGAAAAGAATTTGTAACGTTCATATACGACATTCTGCCGTGGTGAACAATAATCTTCAAAAGACTTCAAGACCTCTTCGTATTTCTCCTTATTCTCAGGTGGCTCAAATCGAAACGTGTTATAAATTTCGAGTTCTTCAGTACAGAGTAAATTCAAAAGGATTGCAATTTTAGTCTTATCTGGCTTGTCATCCTTTTCTGTTGCAAGTAAATAGTTTTCTAGCTCTTGCTTTCATTTTTTCCATTTTTCTTTAACATTTCCAACGGAGAATATTAGGGGAGCAGGTGGTCTGGAAATCCATTTTGCTCCTGACACTGTGTAACTTTTTGTGTAGTTTGTTGAATTTAATTACTTCTGTACTTTAAAAGAAGACTCAACTAATGAGTATATCTCAAGAATTCAAAACTTTTATTATTACAATTTTAAGCAGTTCACATGACATTCAGCTAGCACAGTAACACGTGCATCACAACAACGGAATCTCATAGCATGAGCGCCATTAAAGTTATTTTAAATATACAACACAGGAATTTCATATACAGAAGAAGATAAAGCTAAATCTTTTGCGGACTATATGGAAGATACATTCACTCTTAATCCCACTCCGTACGACAATAACCATATTCAACGGGTCAACCAGGAGGTCAATAACTTCCTTAATACCCCTGCTCTGTACAACTTCACTTTCCTGACAACCCCAGCAATCGTAGCTAACAGCATTAGCTCCTTTACAGACGAAGAAACCATCAGGGCACGATGTCATCTCGACCAAAGCAATGAAACATCTTCCCTATCAATGCGCTATCACCTGCCTAACTAAGATAATCAATAGCATTAATCAAATTCGCTCATTTTCCTAGCTCGTGGAAACAAGCTCTAATAGTAGTTTCTGCTAAACCGCAACAAAATCCCACTTTCCCTCAGGAACTACCGCTCTATCAGTTTACTAAGCCATCTTTCCAAAGTTACAGAAAAATTTCTACTATTCCACGTCCAAAGAATTGATCCCTTCCAGGAATTTTCTCACAGAAGAACAATTTGGATTTCCGTAACCATCATAGCACTTGCCTTCCATCTTCTAAGAGTTATCAACATTATCACTGAAGGCTACAACTGCAAGCTTCCGACCGGTGCTATATTCCTCGATATCGCGAAAGCTTTTTGACAGGGTATGGGCATCGAGGCCTTATTTACAAACTAATCACTCTCAATTTTCCAGATCATTTTATTCGCTTAATAGCCTCTTTTCTTTGCAATAGAACATTCAGAATCAAAATCGGTACTGCTTACTCTACCACCAGAGTAATCAATGCTGGTGCCCCACAGGGGTCGGCACTTTCGCCGTACCTTTTTAATATTTATACACAAGACATCCCTAAAGACCCTTCTGTTCATCTTGCACTCTTTGCCCATGGCACCGCCATACTTACTAAAGCCTGCACAGTTATCGCCGTAAGAAACCAACTCCAAAGCTATCTTATGAAATTGGAAAAATGGCTTACCCTTTGGAGGATTAAAATTAATACTGATAAAACTAAGGCAATAATTTTCCGTAAAGGAAACATGAAACTATCCTCCACTCCCTGAAATATTTGACGAAGAAATAGACTGGATTAATGAAAACCAAATACCTTGGAGTCACCTTGACCAAAAACTTACCTTCAGAACCCATTTCCGGTCCGTAGTACAAAAATTTAAAATCACCACAGCTACTATGCGACCTCTTCTTGGTAGAAAAAGCAACTTATCTACTACAAACAAATTAATTCTATATCGCTCCATACTGCGTCCAGCTCTCTTTTATGCAGCACCGATCTGGGGACATGCAGCTAAAACCAATATTAAACAATTACAAATTCTACAAAATAAAATTCTACGAGAAATTATCAATGCTCCTTAGTAAAATCCCAGCATCTATATTCCCAGAGACCTTCGAATCGAACTTATTCAGGAGTATATTAAAAGATTAGCGGTCAACTTCTTTTATTCAGTACAAACCCACAGTAATAGCCTTATTAGCACTCTCAGACACTCCCCGCATCCTAGAGAAAAACATGGTTACCCATGTGACATCCTTCCCACATAAGAATCAGCAATCCTTAATTGACTCATTCACGCTAAACTGACTCTGCGGTTTTACCACCCACGGCTACATCTTATAACGACACTGAACATGACACCCCCCTTTTTTTCCCGCCGCTAGTGCGGACCTCACTCTTTTTCATCCGCCTCTCCACACCCCTTTCCTACCCTACTCTTTCTGCCCCCCAACCGATCCTTATCAGAAGTCGAGTAAAAAGATGTTTCTACATCTTGACAACTCCTCCCCCCACCCGAAAATTTATCAGAAGCTCGAGTAAAAAGATGTGTGTGTGAAATGAGCTGGCCATGCCACTATTCCTGAGATAAAAATTATACAACATTTATTGACCACACCTCTCTCTTAAAATACTTGCTTAGGTAAATATTCATAGCACTAAACTTTAATTTAGAAGTAAAATATTCTTTATGGTTTTATTTCATTCATAACTGAATACATTTCTCAAAAGCTAGGAAACGCGGGTTGCGTTTCCTAGGGAGGAAATAAAAATACGCTTCGGGTGTGTTCGCGACGTGAGCGCCTTCTTTGTTAAGCTTTACAGAGGTTCTTTATTTCTTTGCGCGATAGTCCCTCGGTTGGAGACTGGCAGAAAGATCAGAAATTAAACTGCTCAACTTTTTCTTTCCCTTCAATGATGTTGACATATTCCAGTTAGAATATTAATCATTTCATTTGGAAACATTTATATTTACATAATGAACTTAAAATTCGTACACTTTTAATCATAATAATGTGAATTTTTTTATTGAATAGTAAACATGAAAATTTGGATGTATATGTTTTCTGATATTAATAATTCTCTTTTTCCCTAACTGTTCTGCTTCCTGAAGTTTTAATATAGTTGGGTTATAATATGTCAGAAAACAGCAGGAAATATGAATTACATGAATCCGTCTTTAAAAATGATGTTAGAAAAGTTGCATCTACTCTTAGGACGCATAATGTTGGCCAAAAGGATATGCATGGTGAGTTAGACACTAACATTTCAGAATTCGAGTCTGTACATATAGTTATGAACACGTTTTTCATAATTTAAGTGAATTTAATTTAGATAATAAATCTTGTTTCTACACGTATGATATAAATATTAATTTCTGAAAGAATATTAAAGTAATTGGAAGTATACATATGAAATTTTAAGACTTTCAAATTTTTAAATACAGTAAAATCCCAGTTTATGGCTGTTAGGTTTTTTTTTTTTTTTTTTTAATGAGAATTAGGCAATGCAAAATATTAAAAGGATGTGTTTATGAGGCCCTTAGTGTTAATTATGTGGTACAGGTTACCTTAAAATACCTTTGAAAATCATATGTTACTAATTAGATTGTTTGTAAGACACCATTTGTCATCTGAGGCAATTTTCTTGTTTAGGTAATTTGTGATTTTAGATTCCACTGTAATATGCCATGGGCATTTATGTTCATATTACAGGATTCTTCACTGTTGTAACTTGCCCTATATTATTCTAAGTTTTCATGTTTGAGAAGAAAAAGCGTTTTTCTTCATGCTTCCTTATTATTATGGTGTCTGTTTTGTAAATAGCATCAAGATTATCAAGGATTCGCCAATGCAAATCATCTTCAAATGACCAGCAATCCTAATAATGATCATTTATAGCTTGCTCTTTATGAAAAGAGCACTAGCACACATAGTTTATTCAGTGCTCTTTATGAACAAAGCACTGAATAAACTATGTGTATTGTAATGTTTTCATCTAAATATTAACAGTTTATGATAGTTCATAATTCTCTAATTATGAGAAGAGTTGTGTGTATTCTATGTGCTAATGTATTTTCTTTCTCAAAAAATGTTAAAATATTTGATTTTTCAAGAAGATGGTAGATCTTTCTTCTAAGAAAAATGCATTTTACCTTCCCTCTAAATATTCAAAAATAGCCTTAAATAATATTAAACATCAATGAAAGCATTTGAAGATGCAATATGAAAAGTTGCAAGGGAAGGAAAAGAATATATTTTGACTACTGGTTCAATGGTTTCAACAGTTTGTAACAACAGAGTAATTTATTTAGTTTGGGGCCGGAAAACTGGTATCAGTTAAGTAATGAGAGCCTCAGGCTTTATGAATATATAACTACAGTACAAAGTCTGAAATCCAGAATCGTCAGGACTTTGGAGATTCTAGCAGTTTATATCTAGTAAGATGACCTGCAGATGGGGCAACACTGGGACTTATTATTTAGATCAAATAGGAGAATGCTACTTCTTACTCACAACAGAGATGGTGCCAGAACTGATTGGGTTACATTCTGTGGAAATTTTAATTTAGAGAAGCACCGAGCAGCAAAAATTAGAGGTGGCAAAATTTTTAGATTAATATTTAGTAGGAGAAGCATTGGGTGGCAAAATTTAGAAAGAAAAATGTTTTAACTTGGAGAGGTACTGGGTAGCAACATTTAGGACTCACAGAGATTGCAATGAGTGGGGAAAATGCATGGTGTTGTCCTATTTCTTTATCCTAAAAAAAACCATTCAAGTGCTGAAAGTGTGATCCTAGACAATAACAAATACAGTGTCAATCTGTATTTTTACTGGCCACGGTTGCCTCTTCTGCTTAGTTGTGGTTAGCGATGCTAACTGCCATACCAATAGGATTTGGTTTGAATCTCTAGAGAAGGCATGGATGTGTGTAAACATATTGTGTGTATGCTACAAGGTACTCAAAATACATGATGAATCAAAAGTTCTCTAGAGAGGTTGGTAATATGGTGGGAGACCCTCGAATATCCTACTGGTATTCTCCTTGGTTAAGCAATATATTAGAAACCCTCTCAATGGTATATGAGTGTTCTCTCTCAAAATTGTAGTGGAAACTTAACAGGCAGCTATGCTTGACAAGTTGCCTATGGTACTACAGGGGTACCGCCCTAACTTCTATCTGTACTTATTATTATTGGCCATTCTATGACTTCCTAGGAAGCAGCCATTTGAAAGTGACATGTAGGAATCTCAAGTCTGGAAAAAAATTGCATTTATAGCACAGCTGCTTCCTTTTGTTAATCTTTATATTCTCCATTCCGAGATTTTGTAAGAATGTGGAAATTTCTTTGTCATTTTAATTAATTAATTAATAAATTTTTTGCTGGTGGTGTGGAGGTTTGGATATAAGATAATTCCAGATATTGGATGTCTGGATTTCAAACTGTGTACTACATTGACTGGACAAATTTTGTAAGAAGATGTATTTTCTGTATCAAATTTGACAACCAATTGCAGAAACATGGCAGCCACGAAGTGTGTGCTAGATGTAGACATGAATGTGGTAATCCGAGTGCCAATATAATGTTTAAAAACCTGGTCATAATAATATGCACCTTTTTCTTTGGCTAACTATGCCCAAGTTTTAGAATTTATGATAATTATATTCTCCATTCCGAGGAAATATGAATTACATGAATCCGTCTTTAAAAATGATGTTAGAAAAGTTGCATCTACTCTTAGGACGTATGATGTTGGCCAAAAGGATATGCATGGTGAGTTAGACACTAACATTTCAGAATTCGAGTCTGTACATATAGTTATGAACACGTTTTTCATAATTTAAGTGAATTTAATTTAGATAATAAATCTTGTAATCTTCTTGAAAGGTATTTGTAAACATTTTAAACATTACCTATTAATTTTTTTTAACTTCTGTGAATTATATGCATAAAATTAATTTTAATATTTTAGGTAACACACCTCTTCATATAGCTGTGATGAAAGGGCACAAAGGTAAGAGAATTTTTTTATTTTAACTTTATAATTTGTATTCTGTGTTTTGAATCAGTTTTTTTATCTTTGTGTAGAATCATTAGGGTAATTCCTGGTCATAATTTTTTTTCCATACTAAAAAAAAAATAAAATCATTGCACTTTTTAAATGTCTTAAAGATGGCTCAGGACATTTATTCTACAATAAGTAGAATTTATCATGAAAAAAGATATGGGTTGTATCATTATTCGGTACTATTTGGTTTCGAAGGCCGTAAAAAATTGCCAAACTATTGTTGATGCCAGTGCTGCCAAAAGTAATTGCGGCAACCCTAACGCTAGAAAAGAAGTTAAATAGTAAATAACTATCTAAATATTGATGTTTTAATTTAGATGAAAGGTTAATTTCATATAATATTTCGCTACCGAGTTATCGCTAAAACATCTCGTTGGTTGTTCAAACATAGTTTTTTATAATGAATGATGCCTTTTCTTTGAAAGCATTTTCGGTAAATTGCAAAATCGCCCGCTTATTTCTTTGCCACTTTTTACAAGGGTAAAAACAATTGGAATTTTGTCAATTTTCTTTTACTTTTTAAGTTACAATAGGTCGATGTGTATATAGATAAAGTCAAGGGTTGTGCGCAGTGCCATTTTTGTGCAATTCTGGGATTTTTTTTTAAGTAAAAATAAGTCGATGTGTACATGGACACCGAGTATGTGCAATTCTTAAAAACGCATCAAGCAGTGGGTGATTCTGCACTTACCCAAAATTCTATCGCAGACTTTTCATCATAGGCAATTCCCAAATTGTTAAATCCATAGTATATCAAAAAAGAAATTAAAAATTAAAATAGTATTTCAATGGCGTCGTAAGAAACATAGAACTATATAAACTTACGCAATCTGAAATCAGCGCGTACGTGAGATTTGGAGCGCTGTTAAATGGGCGTGTTTGCTAGATCTGGTGCATTCGCGCATATATTTTCGCTGCAATTTTTTTTACGGCCCTTGAAACCGAATAGTCCCATTATTCTTATCTAGTTAATGAATTTTTTTTGTCTATATGTATATTAACTGGCTATTTAATCTATTTTGTCTTCTTATTTCTTATCTTCATGTGCAGTGTTCAAATTAAAACTACTCAATAATTACAGTATGCACTGATGCATTTAGAGTGATTAAATTAAATAAATGAAATGTGTTTTAAATTCAGTAACCATTTATACCAGAATATGCAGCATATTCTGGCATATAACATGCACCTGTAATTTCAAACTACATTAAAAAATGTTATCTATGTTCATTGTATAACGATCATCCTTTTCTTTATGAAGGAACCTGAAAGATACATGCATGATGCTGTCATCCTTAAAGTCTTTGATTCAAAGACTTTTCAGCCTTTCTAACAATGGTATACTGAATTGTCAAGCAATAAGGGGAACAATATGTGTGTGGGGGGGAAATGCTTGAGGGAGTAAATAATTCTGCAGAAAGGGTCAGTTGTATTCAATGCAGCTGTGCACGAGCCATTTGAAGCCATGTTTTTTAAGTCAACATCGAAGGCTATAGTAAATCCAATTTGCTTCAGTTGAAGTATGGCTTATCTAGTGTTCCTCTTAGTAGCAAATATGATTTCTGCCAAACGAAAAACCCGATGCTGGTTTCAAATGTTCATTCATTCAGTTTGTGAAAGAAAATGGAAATCGTGCTACTGCAAGGATGTTTGGTTCTATTGAAAGCTCCATACCTGAGTGGAATAATATACATAAAAAAAAGGTCACAAAAAATCTCACCTCAGTGTAATTTTTTCCTGCTTGGTGTGCAGTACAAAATTTAAACCCATGGTTTTAAAAGAAAGATGATGAAGTGTGATTTTCTGAATTGTGTTTTCATTCACGTTTGCAAAAAAGAATGGATGGATGAAAAATGTGTGAAATTATGGATAAGAAACATTTGGCGAAAGCGTCGTGTTGCCTTAAAGAATCCAGAAAGCATTTCGTGGTTTGGGACATGTTCAGATCTCATTTTGGGTAATATGAAGAAATTTTTTAAAGAGTTTAATACAGGCATGGCAGTTATTCCAGGCAGATTGACGTCATTAGTTCAACCGTTGGATGTGATGTGTGTATCAATAAATCATTAAAAAGAAAATTTAAAATGACAGTGGAATATGTGGATGTTAGAAGGTGAAAAACATTTACAAAAGGAGTCTGAATGCATATTATGCTAGAAGAGTGTGAATAATAAAAGCATGAAATGAATTAAACTCGATATAATTCAAAAGTCATTAAAATGCAGTATATTGAGCAATCTAAATGGAATGGAAGATGTTTAATTATTTATGGATCAGAGTATCAGTAACGGTGAAGATGAAATAGAATTTGATGGAGTGTCTGAAGATATAATGAATGGAACATGAATGAAATTTCATGTTACCTGATAATGAAAATTTTTAAGTTCATGAGGTATGTCATTTCTTTTAAATAAACACCATTTAGATACATGTAGAAATCTAATTTTTGTATGCTTATCTTTTAAAATATTTAAATCTATGATTTTTATATCTCGCGTATAACTTGCACCCGTAAATTTCGATCTTATTTTTTGCATTAAAAATGCATGTTATATGCTGGAATATATGGTGTACTGAGTAAGTATAAATTTTATGCTGTCATATAATTGAATATTTGAATTGTGATCGGTGGTAAAGGTGAGATTTTTATATTGTGCATATTTTGAGTCTTGGAATCAAATTGGATATAGCCTGTTTTTCACTGAATTTTCTCTTGATATTCCCCCCACCACCACCACAATAACTGCCAAAGAAACCAGGAAATCAGCATTTCATAACCATAAAGCTTCATTTGGACTATTTATCTTGTAATGATATCTGGAAGTAAATTAGTTCCAGATAGAAATCCTGATTTATTTTTTACCTCAATATAGATTGAAGGAGGGAGAACTTTTACCATGATGTCAATAATTCAATATATTGTGTTGTGGTATTTCCATTATGAGTTATTATTTTTCAATGATTATGACATCATTATTTCGTAAGTATTTTTCTTCGATATTTCGTTCTTCGTGTTGCGGTTTCCAGAACTTATAAATTGAACGTATATACTATTTTGAGACGCAATGCGGATTTCAGGTCGCCGGATTTTTGGTATTTGACTGTACTACTACATGGCAAAATACCGAAACTGCATTAAAATATCTGTAATACTGTATACTGTCATAAAGCTTTCTTTTAGATTTGGAAGATCACTAAAGTAGAGGGCAGTAAAATTTGTACAAAATTTCTACGAGGAGGTAGCAGAAACTTGCACAGGCCTAAATGAGCCAGGACCTAGTAGTAGTTGAGTGGGGTTAAGATCTCTGAACACCGGGTATACTAAAAAGAAATCGTAGAACATTTTTCATAAGTTTGCATTCCCCCTTTTTTTTTTTTTTTAATTTTATTTTTTTATTTTTTAGGCAATTCCGTAAAAAAAATTATGCCTTTTCAATGCAAATCATAACTTCAGTTTTTTTTTTAATTAAAAAAATCTTAATTTTTTAAAATTTTCCGAAAAATTAGTAGAGGTATATTTTCCATTCAATTAGCAGAGTAAAATAATAAGATTTTTACTTTTCATACCTGCCAGTTCTGCTAGTTTTATAGTAGTTCACTGAATCTACCAGTCTTTTATTTTTAGCTGAGGAAAATGTTTTTAAGCAATAAAAGAAATTTATTGAATTAATGAAACTTAAAATATACAAATTCTATTCCTTGACAGCTGTTGCTGCATAATTTTTAAAATTAAATTTTGTTTCACTTTCATTGTCTTTATCTACTATATTTACATAAATGGAACTATGGTTAGCCTATATTTAACTACTTAGACTAGAAGAGAAACACACCAATGCGACAATTAAAATTGCATTAACAACCTTGTTTTTAGCGTACATATGTTAAAACACTCAATCGATTTCAAGGGCAACTAAAGGTCCCTCTTCATCAGGAGAACGAAATTACTAGAAAGGGGAAAAAGAAGAAAAATAAAGCGTTGGCAAAAGAGTCTCAGAAACACGTGGTTGTTATCAGCAAACACGTGGTCGTAACCGGATTTTGAATCAGATTTACACTGGCCACCTACTTTTACTGAGCCAGGCTATCTGATCAAACATATAACACATAGACTAAAATGCAAAGAAATCAAGGAAGTCAAAAAATAGGGAGCGAGGGGCAACTGCACCTTCACGCACCAAGCCTGAACCTCGAATAAAGGCAACGCAACCTCTGTAACGGCTTTTTATACCCTCCAGTAGTACCACGTGTAACGCCATGGAGGTAGTGCCATCTATTGGCAACAATAATAAAGAATTATGATAATAGAAATTTAAAGGCATTAGGGAGGATTGGATTGGACTTAAAATCATTCACTAAACATGTTAAATCCTTGTGAATATGAAAAGCCTCAAGAAAATACAATTCACCAATGGAAGAAGCCCTTTAGATAATTTTTGTTAACCAAAAACAAAATTATGATTAAATTTCCGACTAACTTGTTAATTTTGCCTTTTTGGACATAGGATTCATGTTTCTTGATGTGAAACTTTAACACTCTTTTTTTTTCGCCAATATATCTCAATCCACCTGACACGATATACTATAAATTCCCAAGAATTAAAGACAGAAACGCAATCTTTTAGAATCGAAGGGTGAATTTTATTAATAGGGGAGAAACCGACTTGAAAATTGAATTTCTGGAGAATCCGTGCAATTTTATAGCTAACAGAAGGATAAAATGGAAGCACAATAAGGTCATTAATATTATTCCTAACAGTAGAATGTCTTCTTTGATGGGAATCTGAAAATTTTTTAACAGCTTTATTAATGATCACGGGAGAAAATCCTCGGTCAATAGCAACTGCTCTAATAATTACGTTCATTGGTAAGCAAAGGTTCTGAAGAGCAAACTTTGAGTGCACAAAATACATAATATTAAAAAGAAGCCGCCTTTTTGCTTAACAGGG